ATGTCTACATCAGAAGAAAATATTTACATTTTGATATAAATCAGTTTCTCATCTTTACTTTGACAGATTAAAAAGGAACACACTATCATAGAAACAAGCTCTGAATAGGAAACTTCTACAATTTTTTTCAAAAAAGGAGAGAATCTTTGCAGAAAAAAAAAATAAACAACAGTTACCAAAGCATATGTAGTATACTTTTGTCCATTCTCTCTGTAATACTTCTAATATTTCCATTAATAGAAGATGATATCTTGGTGTGCGAAAAGTTGACAAAGTTAGAAAGAAGAATGTCACGCTAATACTTGGTCACACAGTAATATGAAGCTACAAAAGAATGGAAAAAAAAAAGCTGACAAAATCATTTATTTTACTGGAACGCGTGTTTTACTGAAAAGTAAGGAAGACAGGAGAACCAATATTTGCTCAAATATAGAAAAGCCCATCCACAATCAGAATACTTGATTCAGTTTACTAAGAGAACCATTTATCACAAGAAAAAATAGATAAAAATAATAACACAGGTCTTAACCTGTACATTTCAGTGCCCAGAAATCAAGGTTGCACAACATGGAGAACCAGGAGAGAAAGCTCACGCTTTAAAAACAGAAAATTCCTGCTATTTTGTCCATGGTTGAAGCCTTCTCAGCAGTAAAATGTTTCTAAGAAAAGCGTTAAAAGCCCATTACACAGCTAAGAGAAATGGAAAAGAGCTAACACATCTGAATTCACTACATATTTCATGAAGAAACTCTCACATGGATTGATGTAGAAGTACTTAGTACAATTTACAGGAGAAAAAAAAGGAAAAGCACTTTCTCTTTTTTGTGTCTTCTAAAACTATTTCTCTTACCAGCGATAAGAACTGCACACGTGGTCTCTAGACACTGCTCTAGTTAAACTACCAACCACATTTAACTGTAGATGCTTTGCAACTGGCAAGAATGTATTTAAGCACTTAATCAGCTGAATAGCATTTTCTCTCAAGAGAATTATTTTACTCATAACAAAGCTATTGGTAGACTAACAATAATCCCACATGCATCCTATAAGCAACCACTTAGCATTACCGGTATAAAAGCAAAACTATTACCTTGCTTTGTGCAAGAGCTAGATCTCACCTACGAAATGTGCAACAACTAGTAGAAGGCAGAAATTTGTATGTTAGTGTAACATAATTAAAAAACCAAACCAGCTTAGTATACTTTAGGGGCTTTTTTTTTTTTTTTGATTGAACATGCATTCCAAGATGGGCAAACTCTATGTTGTATTTTTCTACAGTTTCAGTAACTATACTCTGTCACTTCTCTCCATTCATTTAAACTTGCTTTTTTCAACACTTTGCTGCTTTGTAGCTTGTTTTTATATCAAATCTGAGATGCATCAATACATATGAGAAAATGACCTACTCATATTGATGACCATTTCATTTCTGAATTCAAGCTTTCTGAATAGCATTTATACAACTAAAAGGTGAAGCCCTAGACACTTTCTCAATATAAAGAGCACACATAGACCATATTTTTGGTCAAGTCAGGAGTTCACAAATGATTTAGGAGAGATCTTGGTCTTGTATTATTTTGATAAATCATTGTATAGTACTGCTGGTATAGACCACGCCAATGCTTCAGGTGTAAAAATCTGAATTATGGAAAGAGGAGTTGGAACTCTGCTCAATTCCTAATTTTTTTTACACAGACTTCATGCCTTTCAAATGGGTTTTAAAAGCATCTTCCCACTAAGGAAGACTGGGGCTGGGTGTAACAAATTCACAATTTTACACCCCTACTGCAGTACCCCAGGCTGTTCTAGTTCAGTGTAGTTGAAAGACAACAAGTATGAACAAGTATCCTTTTGATGGACTGAAATTTGAATTCTTCCCAATGCTGTTAACTATATACATATATAACAGCAGAAGAATCTAACTTTTGTTGCTGTCTCCAGTCTGTTTAAACTAGACTGTGAACCCTCTGGGGTAAAGAGCCTTATTGCACACTCACGGATTGCCAACACAGCTAGGTTTATTGTAGTAGTTCCTGTAGCGTCAAAGCAGGCCCAATGCAGTTTCCACTCAGAATAGCATCGTTCTACATTAACGCCACCAAAGTGTATAGTAATCTCTGCATTATGAAACACATACTAAAAATCTTCCACTCTCTTCCATAACAACAATACTATCTTTGATTTTCTTCTATGATGAAATGACTAGATCTGTGGATGAGAGGAGAACAGTGGATGTTTGTGACCTTGACTTCAGCAAGATTAACATCCTTGTATCTGATTGTATCACAATTCAGATGGGTGGGCTACCACATAGATGAGAACTGTCCAGATGATCAGGCCAAAAGGGTAGCAGTTAATGGTTCACTCTATCTGAAAGCTTGTTACAAGTAGAGTTCCTAAGGCATCTCTTCCCGGATCTATTCATTTTAGTACCTTATCAATGTGGACACAGATAGTACCCCCATGGAGTTTGTGGATGACACCAAAATGGGAGGAGTAGAAGGTGGAGCATGGCACAGCGCAGGGGACACAATACACTGAAAGGTAGGGCTGCCATCCAGACCTATGTAGGTTATAGGTATGGGCCAATAGGAACTTCACAAAATTCAACAAGCACAAATGCTAAGTCCTTTACATGGGATGGACTAAACCCCTGCATAGGTTCACATTGGTTTACAGATTTGCTTCACATAACGTAGTTAACAGTAGGCTAAACATGAATCAGCAATGAGGCCTGGCAGCAATGAATGCCAGCAGCATACTGGGCTGTAGCAACAACCAGTAGGTTTGAGGTAAGGGATCAGTCTCTTTGACTTGGCACTTGTTGCACGTCACCTGGAGGGCATATTCTGTCTCCTCCCCCAGCTCCTTCGGCTTTGGTTGCACCAGTACAAGACAAATGCTGATAAACTTGAACCTGTTCAGTGAAGAGCTACCACCAAGATGGCTGGGATTGGAACATGTATCCTTCTGAGGGAATTCAGTTTGTTCAGTCTAAAGAAGAGAAGGCTCTGTGGGACTTACTAGCTTTCCAGCACCTATGAGGCAGTTACAGAGAAAGCAGATCCAGCCTTGTTACAGTGGTGCACAACAGGACAATGAGAGACAACAATCAAACTGAAACAGAGAAGGTTCTTTCTAAATATAAAGAAAAAACTCACTACGAGGATAATTAAGCACTAGAAGAGATTATTCAGAGAGGCTGTGGAATCTTGATCCTTGAAGGTTATTCAAGACCTGACTAGACAAAGCCCTAAGCAACCTGGTTCAACATCAGTGTTGACCGATTTGAGCAGGAAGTTGCACTAGATGACCTCCTGAGGTGTCTTCCAACCTAAGTGAGTCTGATTCTATGATTCAGGTCAGTGCAACTCTCAGAGGCAACCTTTTGTGTACTGCAATCAGGGGGAACTTTCTACAAACCCATTTCTCTAAGAGTTAAGTTACCTATTTTGTATGCTATGGTCTGGAATACTCTCTCCTCCAGATGTAATGGATAAAATGTAGATTCTTACAGAGGGAGAGCTTAATTCCCTACCACCAACAATAAATTCTCAGTCTTTATGAAATACCTATCCAACTCAAACACTGGTATGGAAAAGCAACAGCTGGATTTAAACAAAAAGTGAAGTCTTCCATGGTTTAGTTTCTTATTAGTCCTCTGAACACCCATGCTGTTATGAAATGGGGCAACTCTTTGGTACAGTAAAAGGAACAAAGAAAAAAACCCAACCATTTTGCATAGGCAGACCATTTCTTATGTCTGCAAATTCTCTAGTAAAATTCTCTTTATTACAGTTAGCTTTCTGATTCAAAAATTTCTTCCATATGTAGAAATAAAATTGTTCACCTGCAACATACTAATTTTCCATTCTGAAACTGCAGGTTAGATTTATTATGGTATTTTTAAAAGGTAGACATAAGTAAAGTATTTTAAAGGTATGTTAAAACTACAGAAAGTTTAACATATCCTTTTCAAATTGTACTTTCCTAGAGAAAATGCTATTTATAGATAGAAGAGAGTAAATGAAGCTTGGGTAAAGGCAGTAAGTGAAACTTAAAATCAAATGAGTTCAAGTCTTATTACATTCATGTTGTAAAAAGTAACAGACCAAGAATTTTGAAAACCTCCAGCTTTTATGAGCTTAAGCCACAAGATTTTACAAGCTTAAATCTCCTTGTCAGCAAAATACATTGTTATGCATTCCTATAAGCAGCTGTGTAATCAAGTGCATGTTCAGTTATTAGACTTCCCAAATTAGACAGCAAATTAAAAGCTATCCCACAAACACCCTGGAACTGCAGGCATTTATTGAGTTCCAAAATCTGTTTCTCTTACTTTAAGATGTATTTGTTCATTATCAGCTATTCTTTCAAACTGTACTCAATAAAATCAGTTCTCCAGCATTTATGGTTTGGAAAAAGTACAAAGCAAGTATTTTCTGTGAATTATCTAGCATAACTCAGTTTATAAATATGAGTTGCAACTAAAAACTCAGTATTCATAAAAAAATTATCCAAAAATAATGTTCAAAATTACTTGAGAAGACATAACTATAAGAAATGCGTTGTAGAATCTGAGGAACATTTTGACTTTTCTGTCATTTGTACAGTGTCATTACTGTAAAGAGAAGGGATACCTTCAAGCCCAAACAATTATCATTGGTAAATATTTACAACAGAATAGTTGAACAGACAGAGAATCAAAAAAAAAATCTTACAGTGAAGAGGTGAGACTGTCAACACCCTGTTACTCCCCCCAAACAAACCCTGTAAAAAGTTTTATTCACATTCAGTGTAAAGAAGGATATGCATATAGTTTTAAGGCTTCTTCATATATTACTCAAAAAGTTCAATAATGATTAGGTTTAAAAAGCATTAGGCTAACAAATTTCATTTCAAAGATAGATGTCGCAACCAATTTCAGGTAGTTAATTGGTAACAAACCACCAGCAACTAAATTGTAATGGACTTCCAATTCTCAGTGAGACCATAGTTACCTGGTCTAAAAGATCTTCAACTTTTTTTTGCCATCCATCCCTTGCTGCATTTTTTTCACGTTCTTTCAGCTGCAACAGCTGAGTCATGGCTGCCTTCTTATCCTCTTCATGCTGAAGCCTCAGCTCTTCACGAAGCTTATTACATTCCTGTCTAAAAGCAAATGTCAAATAACTAAAATACAGTGGATTTTGTGCAATAAGTGAAAAAGAATTAAGAACTCAGTAATCATTAGAAGAACTTAGATAATAACAAAACCCTTTGTTTTACATTGCATTTTGCTATTACATTTGTATGATGATCGCTACTACATACAGATGATCAGAGGGCTGGAGCACCTCTCCTATGAGGACAGGCTGAGAGAGTTGGGGTTGTCCAGCCTGGAGAAGAGAAGGTTCCAGGGAGATCTAATTGCGGCCTTCCAGTACCTGAAGGGGCCTACAGGAAAGCTGGGGAGGGACTGTTTATCAGGGAATGTAGTGACAGGACAAGGGGTAATCGGTTTAAGCTGAAGGAGGGTCGATTTAGATTAGATGTTAGGAAGAAATTCTTTCCTGTTAGAGTGGTGAGGCACTGGAACAGGTTGCCCAGAGAGGTTGTGGAGGCCCCATCCCTGGAAGTGTTCAAGGCCAGGTTGGATGGGGCTTTGGGCGACGTGGTCTAGTGGAGGGCTTGGAACTAGATGATCTTTAAGGTCCCAGCCAACCCAAACCATGCTATGGTTCTATGATACATCATTTCTTATTTAAAGAATAAAAGAAAAGAATTAATACTTGCCGAAGATTTTCTGTCCATTTTATTTCCAAGTCACGAGCCATTCTGTCAACTTTGAACTTTTCCTCTTCTCTCATGGCAGCAATCATTGCCTCATGCTGTTGTCTCTCCTGATCTAGTTCACCCTGCAAACACAAACTTCACAATAGAGACTGATCAGCAGCAAAAAAGTATTTCAAACCTTAAATGAATGCATTTGTAACAAAAATGTGAGTTACAATTGGCTCATAAAACTTCAACTATAACTTTTTCAGTGTGTAGTTCCTAATTACACACAATTAATGCCTATACATCTGCTGATATTTCTTACTAGTGGAAGAGAATTCTGCATTCCTATAAAAAGCTGTAAAAAGCAATTTTCCAATAGGTCATTCTGTAATTAATCTTTTCAAATACTGTTACATTGAATCATAGAATAATTTATGTTGGAAAGAACCTCAAAAAGTCATCAAGTCCTGTTCAGTGCAGGACTAAATTGAGCATTACAGCAGGTTGCTCAGGTTCTTGACAAGCACGTTTTAGACTTCCCCCCCTCCCCCTTTTTTTAAATCCGCAAATATTCAGTATTTGCATTTCAAAGCTTGATCTATCTGAATTTGATACAAAGTTCATGTATCTTCTTTCTGTTTCTTGACTGGACTAACTGGGTAGAAACAGGGTTTCAGTATGAACACAGAAAAAAATTTTAGAATTTATACTAATTTCTGTTCAAATTTTACCAAGCTGGAACAGTATTGAGTACTACCTAGAATACATACTTACATGAATGTTTTTCAGCCATGCTTACTTCATTTGTGAGAAGCAAACACAGTTGTCAAAATTTAGACTTTTTACAGTGAGATTTTTTCCTGTAGGATTTTTTCATTTATATAGTTTAAAATCTATTAAGATAAATGATATTGCCAGTAACCTGCTATAGATGAATATTTAAATGTTATAATAGGTGAAGAGAGAAGAATGCAGTAGTTCATATGGACCCTTAAAGAAATTATAAAAAAAATACAGAGGAAGTTATAAACTGTAATAGGGTGCACATCTAATGACCATAGCTGAAAGAAATTTGTTTTTAAAAAAATAAATAAACCAATATCCTGTTTCAGGCTGGTTTTGTTAAGAAAAGAACACCAGTATGAAAACAGATTCGGGGAATTTTTATTTTTTTTTTAAATATTTGCTGCTCTACTTCAAATATTGCAATGATCTTGTAAATGTACAGTTTATTGAGGAAAGAAAAAGGAAAGGTTATACTTAGTATTAAAGTCAATGAGCTATTGACAGGTTAACTGACAGTTCCAGTTCCATCTAACTAAAATGTGTTTAAAATGTTTAAAACACATTAATTTCTTCGATTGTATGAAGTGGTCACGTTTTCTGGATGATAGTCTGCTGTCTTTCAAGATATCATAGCATATATTTTTAAACTATTCTCAAGCATCTTCCAAAATTCTAAATTTGAACCTGAAATGAAGACTGTGCCCATTATTTGAGGAAAACAGGGTATGCATGCATAATGAAAAAAAATTATTAAAATTTTTCAATGAATTCTAGAGCTAATAAGTTCTGGATCTTGTTTTGCACCAAGACACGAAACTGTCTGGAACAGTACTGGCGTAACACACCTTTTTACATTCTCATGAAATTCTGTTAAGCTTCTGAAAAATCCAACTCTGAATATATTTTGTATGGACATATTTTAGCAACTACACAGAAAGATGTGCTTGTAACAATACCCATTAAATACTAAATGTGTTCTGAAAACAACAACAACAAAATACAGCTCAAAACAACACACCGAAAACAAACCCCAAAAAACCCAAACCCCCAAGCCAACCCATCCTAGTTGTTCAGGTTTTTTTCTCTCTGCTTAAAATAAGAAGAGAAATCTCTCTTTTAATGAAGATCCTTCAATAATGTATACACTATAATACTTCTTGCCATTTTAAAAACAAAACCATTGTGACTGTACTTCACACAATTTCTTCTCCAACATTATTGTTACCTCAACACTATACAATGAATCTGTGGTCTCTCGCAGTCTCGCTCTAGTTAATTCTAGTTCTTTCTGGAGTATTTCCTGAGCTTCTTGAAGACTGGAGATATGTCCTTCTGCAGTACCAAGGCCTTGTTCACTTTTTCGTACTAGGTCTTGCAGACGACACACCTATGACAAAAACCCCAATGAACCTTGTTATTTACATAATTATTACTAATGGCAGCCAAGTCATCCTGGTTTCACTTTCTTCCAGTGATTTCTAATTCCAACCTAGACAAATTTTTATTTGCACAGCCTCTTCTGCTTTCATATCACTTAATGTTTCTGTATTAAACCCCAAATTCCTGTAATATTATAAAATCAAAGATTCAATTAAAGGATTTTTACAAGAAGAAAAAAAATCCAACCTACACTTGAAGCTTTTTGCAAGGAAAGAGGTTATATAAAAATAAACTTGTGTTAGGGTATATGTTTCTCTGTCTTCAGAATGCTACCTGTCCATAAGTTAATCCATTGAAAGCTCCATCTAATATCTGTAGACTATAACGTAATCATTTTCCTAACTGCTGAATAACAATACACTTTTCTCTGCCTACTTGTGCTCCAGCTCCCCATCTGTAAAATGATGATACTCTACTACTTTGCTTCAGGTGAGAATAGTAGAGATTGAACATTGTTCATCAGCTATAGGAAAGGAAAAACTTATTAAACATGTATGCTGGAAAAACAGAATAATTGGAGGCAGGGGGGACCAAAAAACAGCAGCTAATGGGAACTGAAGTTTTTGGAGAAGTAATAGTTTATGTCATTGTCTTTGTATGTTGAGACAAATGTATGTAAGGTAAATTGTATGTTGAGATAAATTAATTCACAATGGGACAAGTGTCTCAAGAAAAGGCTAACCTTTGGTTTGCAGGTATGAACAGGCAACAACTATTCTTGCCGTTTGTTAGCATACAATATGCAAGAACTGTTAGCGACATACACACACACCCCCCCCCTACACCACCCTACACCACCCCCCCAAACTCTCTCCCTCTGTATGCAACCCATTAAGTATTAAAACTGCTCCTTTCCTCTCAGCAAGGAATTCCAAATTTCTTTGGCATGACAGATCTCAGGGAAAAATGTTATCTTGAGCACTTGTCTATGTGCTCCTTTGCATTATATGCCAAACAACTAGTAATTCCCTACAAAGCATGACTATGCGAAGGAGAATCCCGACATAAAAAACTGCCCCGATATTACTGATATCCTCGAAGTGGACCACTGTCTATGTATCTGGTAGTAGCACACCACTTGCATGAAGTGTGAAGAGCAGTCCTGTAGATCTAAAGGATATGGAAACATTCTGCAAGAATGCTACTCACAGGGCTTAGGTCTATTCTACTGATGAGAAAGCAATGCTGGAGGCTGTTTAAAATAATCCTTAGTAATATCATCAGAAATCCTTTGCATGGAGATGGTCAGTCCTAAGGCTACTCTGTCAAGTGATACAAAGAGTCCTTCTGAAAGGTCTTGGCTACAGTGAAAGGAAGGAAATCTATAAACAGCCTCATCCTGAGACACATGTGAGAAAGTCAGTATCTTAAGTTAACCAGAACTCTCAAAAAAAAAAAAATATCCTTGGCAAGTATTTAAGATTACACTGTTCTTAAACAGCTTGGTACTAGGAGCAAACCTAATGAGGCTTGAGTCTTCCTCATCCTTTAGCTAAGATAATTGCTATCAAAAAAGTCTGTCAAAAAGAAAAGAGGATGGTATAGGTTCAAAACCAGCTTTCTCAGCAAGGAAACTAGAACTAAGCTAATATCCACAGAAAGCAATAAATATATGCCTACTGCTAAATGAAGTCTGTAACTCAAAACAAATTATAAAGGAAGCTGCAGTAGAAATGTAAGAGCTAAGCTAAAGAAGCGCCAGACATTTCACAGGGCAGTTTCTTCCAGGTCAGTGAAGACATTGAGAAACTGTTGTCAGTTGTCAATAGAGATTCAAGAGCAAGCTGTGGTTGCAAGGGAAGCACCTGTCTCACATGCTTAAGATAAACAGAGTAATAAACCTAAACATATCACCTCTGTACTACATGCAGTGGATTTGCAGACCACCCCAAATTTATTGCCTGTACATCCGCTCTCATTCTCTCAATATGCAAAATACACTGTATTAAATTTATCCTGGCATAAGAATGTATGCAAGCTCAATTACTAAATAGCAGATGGCCCTAATTCCCTATTTTAGTTTATGTTAGAGTTACCTATTCCTTAGCTATGCCTCTGTTTTCATCAGTGTGCTGATGAATTTTCCAAGCCTGAACTTGATAGCAGTTAGATAATGAAAACTCATTCGTAAAACATTTGAAGTGATTTCCTTCAAAGCAGGAGCAAGTTTATTACTCATGAACACAAGAGAAGTTGATAAAGAGTAGCTAAATGAAAACCTACAGTGTTGAATGACAACAGAATGACAATAGTGCTCTCCTCAGATCAACAGAGAAGTTAAAGCTAAAAATAAGAAAACTTTCTGTAATTTTGAAAGGAAAAATAAACCTGTGTATGATTTTCTTAACATATCTAACAAATACATCATATTTTTATTAATTTGAATGTAGGTAAGCATACTGTTAAGGGAGCAAGAGCAGTTCCAACTTCAATTTGCACCTTCTCCAAGGTCTGAAGTACCGGCAAAGGCACTCACAACTACCAAAAGGAAGTACAGTCTCCTGTTTAGCAGGTACTTAAAACTGATTGATCAGCAGTACTGCCGACCTCTAAAGATGATAGGTTCAACTACACTGGTAGTATATATTATTTGGTGTGTGTGTATATAAATATGGTAGGTACTACTCTGAATGTATATATTAAATAATATTACACATATCAAAACACTGCAAATAATACGTGTCTTACTATAAGTATTTCATGTCATCTTTTGATGGAAATATATGAAGATCATCTGCAAGTCAGGAAGCTGACCAGAATTTACAATATGTTAATTGTAAAAAACATGAGTTTAAATACAGTTAATTTTCCCTCTGTCTCCTGACATATTTTCTGTAGAGGTCTGTGTACCTAATGAGAAGATAAGCAGAGTTAAAACAAGAAAGGCTGTTTATGTCAACCTCTTTTGCTTTGTTAGTTTTGTGAAGGACAATAAAAATTGGTGTTCAGAAGCAGTCATGTAACTTAAATTTGAAGAATACTCTACTTTAAACAGAAATAAGGCGCTGAATAGACCAGTGTAGTCCTAGGTCTGTACTGGACTGTCAGCACAAGATCATTATTGATGAAATGTGGTCTTGTGCACAGGACCGTTAACTGATACAAATGAAGTTAACCCTTACCTCCTGATTGGCAGAAGTCAGTTTTGTTGTCAGCTCTTCCTTCAGGTTTTCCAGCTGCTGCCGGAGCTGATTCTTATCGTCCTCCAAATGCAGTTTCTCCTTTTCAAACTGCTGCTCCAACTCCTTCAGAAAGAGGAAGTAGAGAAGAAATATTAAATACTTGCCATACTGTCATCACAAAGTACAGGTGTACCACATGAAAATTATTCCTCCTGGCACAAATATTCCTAATCTCAAGCAAGAATTGTCCTTTCCTTAAAGTGCCAAACCATGAACATTTATTTCCTTTTACAATGGATGCCTTAATTTTTCAGGTTTTTTCCTAATCTAACTTCCTCGATTAATCACAAAATAAAGACAAACAGGACTTTCTTTTCAATCACTAGTTTCACTTTGCACTTCATTATCAAAATCATTAAAACTATCCCTACTTTCACAGTTTTTCAGTCTGAATTGACACGATGCAGTTTTCACTTTTTATAAAATTACACTGATAACGTGCTTATCCCTTCAGCCCTTACCCATCTATCTCCTACACATAATCCCCACAGAAAATAGTAAAGCTTAAAATTCAGACTGAGTTTTGGGAGGTTTTTCAGGCTGTTACAATAAATGAAATAAGCCCCACACCGCATCTAGAAAATTTATGTAGAACCATAAGAAATCAACAATTAGTCATCAAGTTCAACTACATGTAAAAAATCAAATAACACCTCTGTTTTCATTCAATCTCTGTGGGGTCATAGCCAAATTCTGAAAACAACTCTGTGCATTAATTATATTTCTCTTACAGAAGTCTATGTTGTATATGTATTTGTTAAAGACTATTTTATTTTTTTAAGGAAAATTAAGCGTATGCTTCAGCTTTATCAATATTCTGAATACATTTTCAGAAGAACAATTTCTGTCACAAAATGCTTAACATGAAACATGTTAAAATGAAGAGCTTTATTATATATTCCAGTGGAATATACTATATAATTTATTATACCACAAAGTCTTCTTGAAGAAGACTAAGGCTGCTAGGTAAGGTGCTCCAGAGCCAGGTAATACAAGACTTCAAGGTTTTCTATGGAGCTACAGAGGCTCCTTTATTAACTCTCTCCTAGGGGGGTCAGCTGTAATGTAAGGTTTAGCATTGATTCAGTGCATCTGTGTAGCCCTGGGCTCAAATTTCTGAGAAATCAATATCATCTCAGAAACAGCTATGAGAATACATAGACCAGAACCACGCACGAAACAAAGTACAACTGCAGGCATTGGTAAGATTGCAGAGACAGGGAGAGCTAAGAGCTCAAGAATTCAAGAGGAAAAAGACTGTCATGAAAAGGTATAAAACTCTAAGGAAAACCAGGGCACTGGAAGACAGCAGCTTAGCGTCATCCAGCTCATTCCAAGCAGCAACAGAGAGAAGCCAACCCTTCCTCAGCCAAAACCAGACTCCTCCAGTGTTTTGCTGGGAGTGGTAAGCACATTAAGCTTAGTAGCTTGATAGTTCTACCACTCCATTAGGGTGTGCAATAGGCAATAAGTAATTTGTGTATACACTGCTTGCACAATCTCTTTGTTCATGGTAGAAGTTGGACAAAATCACAAACCAGAGGGTTACACTTTCAGTAATACATTGCTACACAACGTAACTCAACAAGCGCATGCTTTCTTCACCGAGCCCAGATCAATCACCACGTGGGACAAATGGTGCTTGCTAAACAAGACTTGCTCAGGTTTTTTTTTTGTTGGCACTGTAAAATCTGCTGTCTGCAAAATTTCACTAGTGCTATTCAGACCTTATTCTGATAACTAATTGGTTCTTTTATGATACTTGTCAGTACAGCTGTGCAATACTGCAAAATTATTAGCAGTTCTATTTTCATAACCCTCCTATGAACTGATGCCATTTTTACAGCTCATTTTATAGATGGAAGAATTGAAGCAAAGAGATATATTTAAGTCATTTCTTGAGTCTTGTTCTCATTCTTTAGAATTCTCTTCTGTTTCATATTTTCCAAAGACTTCCAAATCCCAGATGCCTTTCCTAGTCTTCCAGTCCCAATGAATCCTCATGTCCTCTATCCCAAAGCTCCTTGACCATACTTCTTCCTCATACTAAATTTAACTCTTCTCTGCATCTGAGTGATGGTTTCTTCCTTGAATTAGTCAAACCACACAACATGTGCTTAGCAAGACAGGTTTGACAGAGGAGACAGTACACTGATTAAGATTTACCAAGATCTTGACCCAGACATCTCTTCATAGTTAATCTTCCCTTGCTAAAATCAAGTTTCACATTTCTCACATTCATAGAGGTGTTCCCTATTTTAACTAATTTAATGATTTAAGAACATTTTTATGATATCCTTTGTTTTATTCTCTGTATTATTTTAATAACAAACAAAAGAAAACAAAACAAAGAGAACCCCACATCTTACTGAAGTAAAAGAAAAATATTCCCAGTAACCCTTAAGAGACATTGTATTAGTAACAGGCATGTTTAAAGTTACAAAGAAAGTAAACCTGAAAGATTAGACACATGTATGTTCTCAGAAAACTACTTCCATTACTGGGAGACATGAAAAAATCTTTGGGATTTATTAAAAATAAAACTAAGAAGCAATACACCAGTAAAATAATTTACCAAAACAACAACAACAAAATCAGTCTAAGATGCACATCACTAACTACAACTGTGTTTATTAGTGTATTTCCTGTGAACACACCAGCGGAGCACAACAAAGCCTTAAATTTAACAATATTTATCCCGTATTTACTGTATAAAGCAAACTTTCTTTATAAGGTACATACAATCAGATTAGGAAATCATAATTCAAAATTGGTCCTCTCATTTATCCCAACAAAGAACAGGCCAATTTTGTAAAACAAAAAAGCCTTTCAGTTTCAGGATTCCAATCAAAGGTAAATGAATAGTTGACATACATTTAGCAAAATTTTATGACGTAAGTTAGGAACACCTTTTGCTGTCTTCTGAGTATACATATAGTCATGTACTAAGGTAATATCTTTTTGTACTTCCGGACTGTTTATGAAAATTTTAAATAAATATTAGAGTAACATAACCTTTTATCTCCAGAAGAACTGATCTTGAGTAATATACAACCTTTCTGAATATGGGTCATAAAACCTGGAAAAACATACCTACTATAATCAAAAACAAAGTTTGGAGTTGAGAATTTCTCTTCTGTATGCAGACAAATGACAGTACAAATGTTTTGGGGTTTGTTTGGTTTTTTTGTTGGTTTTTTTCAAGATATATGTTATTTTAATAAAGGCTGAGCCGTTTCTTCAGAGAGGCACAGCAGACCTGCAGGTAACTCCAAATAAAACTTGCCATACAACAAAACCATGCAGTAGAAGGTTCAAACTCTAACATTTGTTTTTTGTAATACATTTTATTAGTAAGAAAAAACACAAACCTACCATCTGCAGTTTTTTCTTATCCTTATTAGCATTACTGTGTGCAGCTTCAATTGCAGTATGGTGTTTCCATGCCAATTCTTCTAAGGTCTTAGAATGAGCCTCCTTTAACTGTGCAGCCTCTCCTTCCAATCTTGCTTGCAATTTTACGAGCTCCTTCTCATAATATTCACGTTGTGTCTCCCTTGCTTCATTTACTTTCTATAAAAGAAAAAATACAATAATTTCTATTAAACGGTGAAAAAATATCTGAAGACTAAGAGGAAAAAATACAAACACATTACTGATGAAATAAATCTACAGAAATTAACTTCCATATAAAACAAATTTAGCAAACACTAAGCAGTGACTAAATCATTCAATAACCAAAAAGGTCATTTCAATATATCCATGCAAAGCAATAAATCTTTATTAAAATCTATTTTTTTCTCTATTTAATCTGGAGAAAGAGCAATCAGGTATCAAGCCCATAGAAAATTTCAGTTCAGTGTTTTCAAATCTGTTCAGCGCATTTTCAGAGAATGACTTTTTAAATTGTTCTTTAACTATTTCACATTTCTCCCTACTGAGACACTTTAGATACTACGCATCTATACACGAGGTCATAAATGAAATTGATTTGTTAAAAGATGTCCAAAGCAGTTTGAACAACATCTAATTTGACTTCCCTCCACTCTCACTTTGCATTCTACATTAGTCATTCTATTACACCTGGAACATACTACTACTGGTCCTAGTCCAGACATATCAAACAAAAATTAAAACATAATCATTTTTTCTAAGAGCTCTAGATCTTTTGGTTTTGTTCAACTAAGCCAATAAGCTGTTTAACCTTCTCCAAAGCCAGAATTTGCTGCCTTTGTCGCTCATCCAGACTCTGTGTTTTGCTTTGCAGTAAGTTTCTTTCCTCCTCCAGCTGGGATAATTTTTCTTTTAATCTAGACTTTTCCGATTCCAAATCTCTGATTGTAACTTCTTGAGTCATTTGAGTAGCTTGAAGCATCCCAATGTGACCTAAAAATCAAAACAGCTCTTTAAAACCTCACAGCATTAGTTTCATGTAATTGAAGTACACATTCATATTTGAGTGATTTCTAGAAGTACAGCTCTAGTGGACGCTTTCATATGGATCTCCATCATCGTCACTGCAATGCTTACCTTCCCCTCCACTTCTTCCCTTTTTTTAGTTTTATTGTAAAATATCCAACAACAGTAGAGGGCTTGGTGCTGGGGCTCCTTTAGTTTCAATTTTCCTGGTTCAAAGTTGCATATTGACTCCAAGAGAAAAGCAGAGGTAGACTGTCCATGTTCATACTGTTACCTATCTTGAACTTATCCCACCTAAACCCGCACATTTTTACCCCATGATAAGCTACAGAAAGCAACACATTGAAGTCTAATGGTATGAGTTTGATAAAACAAGAACGTCTTTAATCTAGCCAGCATGCTAGGTATAGCAGCTATGTAAAACTTATGGAATTACGCTTTGTTTAGCTATAGCAATATGACTAAGAGATGTAACAATTCACTGTCTCCACAGTAAAGTATGATCTAAATCCTTACAGGTTAAAGGCTTGCTTTTGATTTCTTTATATATATTTTAAAAAAATCTACAAAGATAGACAGTAAAATCATGTGTCCTTCATGTCACCAGTGGAAAAGGGTTTACAACTTCAGAAATGTTTGTCCTTGTTGTTCTTAATGTATATTTGTATCATTGAAAATACTACTACTAGGTAACTGATTAAAGCAGTGGAAAATGCTTAGGATGGGACAGAAGACTGCTTTGGAAAAGAGGATGCTCCTAAGTTTGTTCAATTGGAAGAAAACAGAGCAGACATTCTCCCATTATTTTAAAATCTTTGTAGAAGCATCATGAAGTTATACCTAAGCTGACATTCCATGTCAGAATGGATTCTTTTGATAGAAACCCCCTATGATCCCTTTCATAAATTGCATAACTTAGACGTGTTTGAAATATACCTTTTAAAAAATTAGCATATGATAAAATGAAGTGATAACTAAACAGACTTCCAAGGATTATAGAGAGACCCTTAACAGTTTCACATAAATCATCCAGATAAGAAAGCATCTAGATAAGAAACTGTTTTACTCAGAATAATTTTTTTTAGCTTTTTTTTTTTTAATCACAACTTCTAGGAGAGACCTTTTCTGCCCAGATTTTAGAGGATGTAACAAGGAGACTAATCATACAAGAATTTTGTCAGGAAGTATTACGCACACGCATATTTTATTGTAAGCACACACACGCACTGATGTAGAACTTTTGTCCTAGCAATACAGGACAATAGCAACACACAATACAGGTTATTCCATTTCTTATGCTTTACACAGAAGGTATAAAACACAGCAGTTTCCTTTCAAGTTTGGATTCACAAGATAAATGGAAAAAGAATATTTTAGTTTCCTATAATAGACTGAATACAGCATTCTCGAATTGCACTACAATGAGTAAATATTTTGATAGGATTTTTGACTTCCAAGTGTAAGCTGAAAATCAAAGGGGATGGCAGTGGGCCAGTGTCAGAAACCATTTCCAAACAGGCTGCAAATCAATTATATCACATGGTAAAGGCTTGGTGGCATCACTATAAACAGGGCTCCTGGTTCCTGTTGCACAGTGAGGTGCTGTAAAGCTCAGTAACTGTGGACACATTGGAATTTCTGGTAAAGCTAAAAAACTCTGTGCCAGAGGAGACCAGTGCTGGACTTGTAGTCTAGCTGACTCCATGCCATCAATAATACGGAAAAGCAGCCTGAATATTTAAGTCTGTTTCCACTAAATCTGGGTCTGGCTGCTGCACCTTTCCCATGCTTCT